CTTTCCAGGAGCCTCTGTGAAGCAGCTTGTGGACGCTTTAATTTCACTGTACATAATAAACACTGTTCTTTTGTATTTCCCCTGTGTCTGCCTCGTTCTGGGTCTCATAACATCTGGGTTCCCCCCGCACTCCTAACAAATATGAATCTCAAATTATATGGGGATGATATAGAAAGAGTAGATCAAATCAAATATCTGGGCATCTGGTTTGATAAAAAAAAAACACGTGGAAAATACATATAGATAAAAGAGTAGGAAAGTGTAAAAGAATTCTAAATATAATGTGATGTCTGAGAGGTAAAGAATGGGGTGCAGATAGGAAAGTGTTAAAGACAATCTATGTTGGATTAATAAGATCAATTTTTGATTATGGATGCATTTTATATAACTCAGCTTCAAACACATTATTAAAACAAATAGATAAAGTACAATATCAAGCTTTAAGACTTTGTTGTGGACCTATGAAGACAACTCCAGTCTCAGCTCTGCAAGTTGAGATAGGAGAAATGCCACTGGAGCTTAGAAGAACACAAATAGCTATAACATACTGGGCAAATATTAAAGGACATAATGAAACTCATCCTCCACAAAATACTCTCCAACCCTGTCAAGAGAACGAAAAGAAACAATTTAATAGTTTTGGTTGGATAATCCTGAATCAAACTAAAGATATAGGAATAAATAATTTTCATATTAGTCCTGCAGTTGCTATTCCTGTTGTCCCACCATGGGTCCTTGGACAAATCAAAGTTGATTTTAATTTATTGAAACGAGGGAGAGAATTAGAAAGTAGTGAGGTGGAAAAATATATAGGAAACGAATACTCAGAATATATCAAGATTTATACAGATGCATCTAAAATGTTAAATAGCAGAACTGGTATAGATTTGGTAATTCCAGAATTAAATATTATGAAAAACAAAAGAATAACAGACAATTTAACAGTATACACTGGGGAATTATTGGCAATATCTATGGCTTTGGAGTGGGTTGAAGAAATTAGAGGAAAAAAGTTTTAGTTTGTTCAGATTCAAGTAGTGTATTAATAAGTATTCAGGAGGTACATTCAGATACAAGACATTATACTGGAAATAGCTCAACTAATTTTCAGGATTAATAAATATGGGTCAGAGGTTAAACTAATATGGATTCCTGCACACATAATGGGAAATGAGTTGGCTGACCGTTTTGCTAAAAATGCTACAAGAAAAAATAGTGTGGATTTAAACGTTAAAATAAGTAAAAACGAGGTTAAGAATATAATAAAGTTACATATTAAGAAGAAATGCCAAGAGCATTGGGATAATGGAGACAATGCTAGATTTTATTATATAATCCAAAAAAAGGTGGGGGAATTCAGGAAATGTAATAGAACAAAAAAAGAAGACGATATTATTTTGAGGATGAGATTTGGTCACACGGGATTAAACAGCACACTGAAAATAATCAATAAACATGTTACAGGCTGTTGTGATCATTGTGGACAATTAGAAACAATAAAACATATTTTCTTAGAATGCAATAAATATGCAAAGGAAAGAGAGTTACTAGTTAGTGAGTTAAATAAAAATAAAAGTAAGTTAGAGATAAAGGAATTGCTGCAAAGACCACCAGGGGATACAATTTGTACCAGCATATTTAGATATTTGAGAAGAATAGGTAATTTAGAAAAGCTATAACATATAAAATAATATAGTAGTATAGCATCTGGTCCATACTCCAATCCAGAAGGTGGCGGTACGGTAATGCACCTAAAAGTTGTTTGCCAACCGCCATAAAAAGACAAGAAGAAGAAGAAGTCTGGTGCCAGAATATCGAAAACCTTTGGTGAGTAGTCTTCCAGCGTTTCTCTCTTGTATCCTGATCCTGTTCACAGTCTCCTGCCTGCCCCTCGACCTCTGATTTTTGTCTTGCCCTTTTTGTACCTCTGCTCATCTGCCTTTTTGCTGCCGTTTCCTGCTTGCTTTTGGACTCCGAGTTTTGCCTTGCTCTTTGGTACTGTCGCCTTTATCAGATCCTGTTGCCAATCTTGTTTCTGCCCACGACTCTGCCTCTGGATCGCCCACCCAAGACCACCGACATACACCGCCCCTCTGTGACGTTTCCGTGCTGTTCAGCGCTCTGCCTCCGGCCCATAGAGCCTTACAAGACACAGCTCCAGCTCATTGTCTACCAACACCAGCTGAGAGTGGCAGCTCTTTATTTATTAATAAAACATTTTAAACCGCTCTGGATTCTTGTGGTTCTGCTCCAACATTACAATTACATTAAATGGTAAATTGACTGTACTTATACAGCACCTTTCTAACTTTTTTCAAGATACTCAAAGCGCTTTACACTACAATCTGTGTCCTCATTTACCCATTCATACAGCACTCTACTATATCTCTACAAAGCTAATTGAAAAAAAATCATTCTAAAGAGACTAATCAACGCTATATTACAATATATTTATTTTGTGTCTGCTGCTGTTAAAAAGTAATTTCTCTCATGGATAAAACAAATCAAACATTCATACATTCATTCATTCAAATGTTAATAAGTTGGACATCCTTTGAATAATTTCTGCAAGTTTCAGTAAAGGTTTCCATTGATTTAAGAAGTCATTTGTTAACAGACACAAAGACACACAGAGACAGGCAAAAACATTATTGTCCACCTTTGCCTTTTGATGGCAGGTGACAAGAAAAAAATGAAGCCATCCTGTATTAGACGTTTCTGATAAAAACTGAATCTAGAATACCCTGATGCATGCTCAGTAATCCAGGTAGAAAAATCTAACAACGTAAATTCAGGTCCTCTGGATGGAAAAGGAAGAACCCAGACCCAGGCCAGTGGTCATTCCATATGTTGCAGGAGTTTCAGAGAAACTGAGATGTTTATTTTCTAAACACATCTCAGTGGCTTTCAAACCCAAAAATACATTACGGCCAAGACTGGTCCATCCCAAAGTTCCAGTCCCCTGGCACAAACAGAGTAAAATTGTGTATGCTGTTCAGTGTCAGGAGGATGATCAGTCTTAAGCCCCCAGTATACTGCCGCGTTCACGCGTACGTACGCGTGTAATGTACGCAGAGGGTTCAGACTTTGTACTCCAGCGTACACCCCGAGCAGCTGCAGAGCAGCTTCACAGACAAGCGGCGTTTACCTTCGGGACAAATTGAGGTCGCAGATTGGTCATTTGGTGACACGCCTACTGGATTGATTGACAGGTCGGAAAAAAGAAAAAAAAGCGAGCGCTGGCAGACTCAGCCACAGCGGTGTTCTGTGTTTATGTTAATAAAAAGATCTAAAAAATACAATAAAAACCGAGAGCGCTGGCTCTACAGCCCACACATCAGACCAGCCCACCAGGAAATCTCCAGACCCTCCCGCAGCCATGCTAGACCTGAGTTTATTTCGCTTTTGACAAATTCCTTAATTTCTCACCATTTCAGTCATGGCATCAACGGAGGAGGAAGAGATCACTTGCCTCTTGGCAAAAAAAACAAAAGAAAAGGCCAGATCAGAGATGAAGAAGGGAAATTTAATACAAAGTACATTGGTGTCGCATACAAAACAGTCCGTCGCCGGGCAGTTTATTGTGCGACACCGCGTACGCATATGCGGTCGTAAAAATTTGAGCTTTGCACGGACGTGCCCTGGGGGTAAGCTCGTACCTCTGCATACGTACGTGCGTACCTCTGCGTATGGACGTATGCGGCAGTATACTTGGGGCTTTACATTGGGGAAACTAAACAACAAAAAGGATGTCCCAGCACAGAAGAACAACATCATCAGGCCAGGAATCTGCAGTTTACACTCATCTCCAGGCCAGCGGTCACTCATTCAGGGATGAAGATGTTCACATCCTTGATGGAGAGGAACAATGGTTTGAGAGAGGAGTAAATGAGGCCATCTTTGTGAAAAGAAACTGTCCACCATTAAACAGGGGCAGAGCCTCAATGTCCAACTGTCCCCGTCTTACAATGCTGTTATTGCTAGTATCACTCAGCCCTCTATGCATAGCAAGTGGCCATCAGGGCACTAACAATCACGATAGTTAATAGATAGTTAGATAATGATAGCTAATTGTTAGGCTGATGGCTCTCCTTTATCAGCTAGTTCTGGATGCCATCAGCAAACTGGTTGATCCATTATAAGAAGGTGTTATTTATAAGACTGAGTTTGTTGCAGCTCCTCAGACTGAAGTGTTTTGGATAAAAGATTAAACATTTCAACAAAGAAGAATCCATCCAGAGGACCTGGTTAGATCCATCTAGAATAGCAAGTGCATCAACCTACCATGGCACTAATGGTCTCCTCCCAGTCCGGTCTCTCTCTAGGATGGATTCGAGCCAGTTCAGGCACAATGTCGTCGTTCTCCAGGTGACGTCCTGGTCTTAGGCTCCTACATCAAAACACAGGATTATATTATAAAATACACTGTATATTGGGGGTGGGTGATCAGCTAATCTGCACATTTATGATACAAGTTTAGTGTTTTAATTGTATCACCACATCAGATCAGTAATAATATAAAACCACAGTAATTGTATTGTCTAAAGACATAAACAGGCACAGATCTAAGTGTCAGCTTTTTGAACAACACATAAAGCTAAAATGGTTAAAAGGAAATACAAAACCAATTAAAATATGTAGACTTTTATTAAAACATTTTGACCAGCTCCTCAGGTGTCTGTTTTAACTGTAAATTGAACAATGTCTTTAAAAACTAAAACAATACAGACTCAGAGTAGAGCTGTTGCTTCACAGTTGTTCCCAAACATTTTCTGCTGGGCCCCCCTTTGGTTTATAAGAAAATTTCTGCGCCTCCCACCCCCCAACTTTGCTCAATTTTGGTTGATCAAAAATTACACTTTAACTGTCACTTGTTTTCAGTGACGGGTGTGAGCTGCTTGTTGCTGCAAATCTTCTCAAACCTGGTTGCAGTTGTGACACTTCCACTTCAAGTTCATTTTCAATGTCCAGCTTTGATCCGTGTTTTGTCTTGATTGAGGACACAGCAGAAAAACCTCTCAGATAAATAGGATGTGGAAAAAAGAAGTATGGCCAGGACTCTGTCCTAGCATTGGGTAATCTTTCTCCACTCCAATCCAAGCTGCAGCCAGTGTCTTTGACTGAAACTGCATAACTGCATGTATAGCACAGCCAAGAATGATTTCCTCTGCAGTTGTGTGCAGCTCTTTACACCATGCCACATTGTAGGCATATATATATATATCCTGATGCATGCTCAATAATCCAGGTAGAAAAATCCAAATATATATATATATATATATATATATATATATATATATATATATATA